TCTCTCTACTCTGCAAACTTTAACTTTGGACTTCGTCTTTGCCAACAGAAGAAGAAGAAGAAGAAGAAGAAGAAGAAGAAGAAGAAATAGAAGAAGAAGAAATAGAAGAAGAAGAAGAAGAAGAAGATAGTATGAAGAAGAAGAAGAAACAGAGAACAACAAAGGAAGACTTACCTTTACTGCTAGACGGAGGGGCGGGGCGATGGCGATCCGGGGCGAACCTGGGGGGGGGCGACGCAGTCTCGACCTCGTTCACTTTCGACGAAGTGTCGAAGTGACGGGTCCTGCTGCTCGAAAGCAGCTGGAGGCGGGAGGCGGGGKGGKGGGGGCTGTGCCTGGGGAAGGTTTGGATCGCCGCCAAGAACTTCGGGTGGCTTCCCGCCCGAATGTTCAAAAATGGGCGGCCTATCTGGGCCGCAGATCTCACCAGATCGACGGCCCAGATAGGCCGCCAGTTTTTCAATAATCTGGCAGGCCTACCGGACACGGTTGATTTTTTTTGGGGGCCGGGAGGCCTCCACGACCTGCATGGAGGCCTCCCGGCCCCCAAAAAAATTAAAACTCTCCCGCCAGCGAATTGCGCAAATTGCAACCGGGGGGGAACCAGTGCTCTCCACCGGCCAGTACCACCTGCCCGGTTCCGGTGGGGGAAGGGGGCCCCGGTGGGACCAGATATTCAGCCTTGAAGCCAATCATTCTATACCTTCCCCGGTGTGAACCATCAGGCCAACTGCAACCTTTTACGCTGATCTGGCAGGCCAACAGTCATGGAGCAAATTAGGCTAAGTGAGGAAGACCTGGCATTGGCCTCTGCGCCATGCTGGGGCCTCCAATAGGAAATTAGGATAAGTGAGGAAAACCTGGCATTGGGCCTCTGTGTCATGCTGGGGCCTCCAATACCCGGCCCTCACATTTCATTAAACAGGTCCCTCGAGCGCCTAGGCCAATCATTTCACAGTTGCTCCAAACATCTAATCAATGAAACAAAGCTACCATAGAGGAAGAAGGAACCATACCCCCCGCCAGGTTAACAACAACTTTAACTGTTAACAGTTGCTCCAAACATCTAATCAATGAGACAAGGCTACCATAGAGGAAGAGGGAACTGTACCTACCCCCAGGTTAACAACAACTTTAACTGAAGCGTTAACCAGAAGATGGGTAGGTTATTCAGTTTGCTTTGTTTTCAATTCTACGTATTTTGCAGGTGCTGCAGTGAGTTCGTGCATTCATGTCAAAGCAGAGGCCTCAGAAGTCTGGCTAGGGCCCTGCTTAGTCCCATTCGTCGCTCACACCATAATTTCAGGCTTCACACATGAGATGCAAATCAACACGAGATGTGGACACTTCCCAAATTGTATTGACAATCGAGTCCTATACAACAGAAACTCTCGTATACACACTCAGGCGGCTAAAGCAGCCACGCAGCTTGAAGATGTGTGGCTTCCTCTGTCTCTCAACCT